TTGTCCATAATTAATACGTAACACAAAAATAATAATCCAGGGGTACTTTCGTGTAACAAAATTTAATCGGTTGTTTATATACTCAAAATATTTTAAATTTTAAAAATAGCTCGGACCCCCTTTTTCCTAGAGCGCCCCTCATATGTGGTCTATGCAACATGGGAGTAGTAAAAACGAATGAGGGACTGCTAAGTTCTGAAGAAATCAAGAAAAATATGATAGAATTGAAGTCGAAACTTGTGGTAAGAATGTTTATCAAGTTACTCTATGTGTTATAAAATTTTTATTACTCAGAATCAGATCTGTTATATACTCATTTCATGGATATATAATTGTCTGGTTTTATCTAGGGTCATTCTTCACATCTTTCCAAAGAGTTATATAAGACCTTAAAAGATGTATCTTACTGTGATTTGACGTGGAAGGATCCCCTTGCCAGTCAGGTGATCAGCAATAATTCACAAAAGCTCGCTGAGGATGAATATAATAATTTTATGGTAGGTATTAGTGAACCCTAATCAATTTTCTTTACCTATTCATAGACCATGTTGGTTATAAGATATGGCTACTTATTAAATCAGCACCATCTATACATCCATATTCGGAAAATATTATTAGAAACCTGCACTACAAATGGTACCTCCTACTATACCAGTTGTTCAAGAAATGTGTACCAAATTTGTAACTAATTTTGTTGAACCCTGGGAATATACGATAGTGGAATTGACACATGATGGAGCCTGGAAAGAGTTGAATGAGGGGTTGCAACCGGAATCCTTGATGTCTTGTAAGTATTAGAATGACAAACTTTCAGATTGTTCTTTCATAGTTATGAATCTTCTTTTTGCAGAAGCAATTCTTGGAAGAATTCAGCATTTGCTCCTGAATTTGAGGTATCTCAGAATGAAGGAACATATGTAATGAATATTATTGCACCTTTGATTCAAGCCGTGTTGAAAGATCTTCCTTTCGCAAAGTCTTCATACATTAGCATTGCAGAAAAGCAAAGTAAGTAGATGGAAGAAGTGAGTGCTAATGTTCCATTAACTCAAGTTTACTTCATTTTCACCAAGTGCGCACATTACTCAACATATCCAAGAATAAACCAAAATATTCAAAAAGCAAGTACTTTTAATTATTTTTTCTTGGTGGGTGGAGGAGTTCTCCTTGATGACT